AACATGTTATCGTATGGCTGTTGTACTTTTCATTTGGTAATTGATTGTTTTGGCCCCTATAAAAATGTGTCATATGAGAGTGTTTGTGCTTGAATTACATAGATCATGTACCTGAAGGTAGCTGACAACAACTGGGCAGACACCCACCTTGCCTTCTTCAGTGAAGCTGTGAATGAGCATGGCTTTCCTCTGACATGCCATTTGAGGTCATATAGTGAAATTTGGGGGGGTGAACATTTCCCTCTTTCAAAAAAATTTCCCCAGCAGAGGGTTGATAATGCCACATTGTTTACTCACTTAGTAGCAAGGTACATAAGGAAATTTCTGATACTGAAGTTGATGTAGATTGTTATAGATGTGCATTAAAAATGTTTGAAGCGAGATTCTAATGTTTTTTTTTTGTGTGTGTTTCAGGGTGAGAGGAGATCATGGCGGAGAAAATGTAGGTGTTGCAGAATTAATGTTCTCAGTTCAGGGAACTGACACCAACAGCATCATTGCAGGAAAAAGTGTACACAATCAACGGTGAGTTTAACCTAATTTGGAAGCTTTGTGTGTGTGTGTGTGTGTGTGTGTGTGTGTGTGTGTGTGTGTGTGTGTGTGTGTGTGTGTGTGTGTGTGTGTGTGTGTGTGTGTGTGTGTGTGTGTGCCTGTTGACCTGCCCAGGGTGTACCCTTCGTCTCACACTGACTGCTGGAGATAGGCACCAGTCCCCCTGCGACCATTCAAGAGATAACTCAAGTTGAAAACGGATGTATGGACATGTAAATGTGTGTGTATATTATAATTTTCTTTTATTTAATCCCCCTCCAAATCCAGGATCGAGCGCCTCTGGCGTGATGTCTTCATGAGTGTTACTGGTTTATATTACAACATCCTGCACTCTCTGGAAGACCAAGACTTGCTCGACATCAGTAACATCCTTCACCTGTTTTGTTGCCACTATATTTTCTTGTCTCGCATCCAGGCCAGCCTGGATGTCTTTAGAGATGCGTGGGACAACCATCCAATCAGGACAGAGGAAAACATGACACCAAATCAGCTGTGGCATCTGGGCCAGGCTCTGAATCCTGTTTCTGATCCAGGGGCAAATGTATGTTCTGTTAAAATGACTGATCACATGTCAAGTTGATCCTTAACTAAAAATCAAATGTTCAACACTTTGATAATCTACCTCTGCACTATGCTTCTTGGATTCAAGACAAAATGGCTATTGAAATTACAGTTCTGTTTGTGTGCACCTCTACTGAAGTGGACACTGTCAACTATAATGTCATGACACATCTGCAAGTTCAAAATGCAAGGCATTAGACCCTCCAGATGTGATATTCTCACTGCTGTTTTAACATAAAAGTAGCCCATTAATTAAAAAAATAATAATTTATGAAATAATGGAGATGCTAGGTTCTGCCTGACATCATTGATGTTAAGTAATTGTTAAAAGGTCATGATAGGGCTTTATTAAATGTGTTTTCTTGAGATTCATTATGCACAATGCTCATACACACTTTCCTTTTCCAGGGTATACCGACACCAGAGATTGAATGGGAGGAGAATGGATACATGACTGAACCTCATCCTGGGATCAGTGTCCCTGTCCTGTACTCTTTCAGATCTTGAAATGTTGGAACTGCAGGACAACATTAATCCGTTGCAACATTCAGACTCTTTTGGAGTGGACATATATCTTCACACTGTCCAGTATGTTGAGAACTTACTTGAGGCTAGATGATTACATGTGTGAAGAAGGAAGGAGAGAGAAGGTAGGGAGTTAGGAAGGAAGAAAATAATTAATGAGACAGGAAGGAAGGAAGTTAAAAAGTGAAGGAGTGGTCCATTTTAAGGTTAATATACTGTATATTGTTATTCAAGGGATTAACCTTTGTAAATATGAAATGCTAAAGGATAGACCCCAAAATAGATTTCTAAATTCATTTATAGTTGTGTATTCCCTTAAAGGCTTTATCAGCCTGATTTATTTTAGACCAGGAATGTATTTGAAAAGGCTGCTGTCCACTTTATCTATGCTACAATTCTTCAAAATGTAGATGTTCTATCATTGCTAGTGTTGGTTTAGTAACATACATCTTCCTGTGTATCCAGCTCTAATAAAAACATTTAAAGGTGAAGCACCTACTTCTTATCAGGAGATCCATTTATTTTTACATGTTATTGTTTGAATTTTGTCTCGTTTCATAACTTTTGCTCAACATTTAAGGGGAACTGTGTTACCCTGCGATCATCTTCATTACACTTGAAAACTTGTACTATACCTCCGTCCGTCTACTTATTAAATGGAATAACATGACAAGATTCTATCTACTGGTTTTTTGATCAAGGGATGATTAGGTGTTGTGAGAAGATTCTCTATGCTACTGAGTCTGTGTTAAATTGCAACTGGACACACATACCCACACACAGTTTGTTCATTTGTTCTCAGAATGAGAATAATGTCTTTTACAATTAAAAAGTTTTTTTTCTTGATGTCACTGAAGGCTGTGTTAGAAATATATGCAGCTTATTAAAAGGAAAAGTAACTGATGTATCCAAAAGCCTGAACACAGGAGAATAGAGACACTTGCCAAGATAAAGAGCTAGAGCTTTTGCTCCTTTTCAGAGTCACTCCCATGGAATAGGCCTGATGATTTACTAGCTTCTCTTACCTTCTCTGCAGACAATGTTTAATATGAGCTTCAAGAGGTCTCTGCCCCTAACAGGGTTTGCTTTCACTTAGTAAAAATGCATAATTTTTCTGAATAAGATTATTAAGAGGCCACCCATAGGATGGAACGTTGGTTATGTATTGTAACCCCAGATTTTATGAGTATAGCGTAGCCCTTTGAGCAATCGCCTTTTGGATTAATTCCATCCCCTGCGCAGATTGGATCAGCGGTGATCGGCGAGCAGTGCATGCCGGTTAGATTTGTGTCCAACTTGATGCTGACTTGCTCTGACGTCAGTAGGCAACTATAACCTTGTGAGATCAAGGCGGCCGCAGATTTTGGAGCAAGGCGCTGCAGTTGCTCTCCCTCGGCTGCAAAACCCAGGGCATGGGAAACGCCTGGCTCTCACCTGATCTAAGATCTGATTGGTTCATATTTTGATCCAAACATCCGGTGGTAGAACATGAAATGTTAGTTGTTCACATGTATTCTGTAAATCATGTAACGTTAATGATGACAACTATATAGGCCATAAAGAGAAATGTGTTTTGTGTTCTTTTGTCACATTTCCTATGAACACACTGAAGCTACAGCTGATAACCTTTACTTATTATTACAGTCATGTCTTCATATAGAATATTTGATATCCACAAGCACGTGAGGATGTGTTTCAGCTGCTAACAGGCACCAGAATTAAAATTGAAAATTAAACAAGTGTGAACGCTAACGCGGTATCTTCAGCCATCGTCAGCCCCGAGCTACACATGAAGGGAAATTGTATCCGACTTATGCGCACAGCAGATCTGTTCCGTAACATAAGGAGCCATATGATTGGCTGCAAGCGAACAGCCCTGGCAGAATCATATATTTGATTGACAGATTCATTAGCCAATGGTGACGTTTGTTGACCTGCAACGTTAGGAGAGTCTCAAAATTCAGCACACAGATTTCACTCACAAACGCGGAAAGGTTCACAAATGAGAAGCTGTTCGTAAATGCACATTCAGCAATTCGTATGATCTGTGAGTTTATATTACAAGTGTTCTTACAAATTATATTTGTGAACCACAGAGTGTGAACTTCAGAATTAGCGTGTGCATTCGTGGAAAATGTTGCGTGACTTATCTTTTCACATTATATTTATGAGTCAAAGATTGTGAATTTCCGAATGAGCGTGAGCATTTGTGTTCCTCCGAATTATATTTGTGAAACACAGAGTGTGGATTTCCGAATGAACGTGTGCGTTTGTGGAAAACGTTGTGTGACTTAATTCTTATTGAGACTGTTCTGGCCTCATACACCTGCCTCTTGTTTCCCAATCACCATAGCTCCCTCTCCTCGTGTATTTAAACCCCTTCTGTTCCGTGTTCCATGTCGTGTCATTGTTTCAGTGTCCAGCGTGCTTCATTAAAGAAACTAATGGTAAAAGTACCTACCTGTTTTCCTTCTTCCTCCCCGCGTTTGGATCCTCATCTGATCACTGCCTCGCGTCCCGGCACGCTCGTGACTCAGACAACGTGAAGCTGCAGATTATTATGGGAGAATACAGTCTATTTGGAGTCAGAACAGGTTACAGATAAAATTCCTGCAAAGTGAAAGGACCTGCACAACCACAACGACCTAATTATGTTGTGACTGTAGCAAGAATTTTATGTAAAGGATCTTAGAGTCTAAAATTTGTCAGGAGATTGTTAAAATGATAACAAATAATGATGTATATAGTTATAATATAATTCACATAATTAATTATAAGGTATTTATCTCACATAAAACTTACAGTTATGGTTTGGAACAACAAATGGTTTGTTGTTAGAACCCACAGAAATTGAGCTAATGTGCAACCATTTACACCTCCATTTAAACAGATAATGTGAAGTTTTTATTGTTAATCTCTGCTATACATCAAAATATTGTTGAAAAGGAGTTAAATGATGCCCGGTTTTTGGTGGCTTTGAAACACTTAACCATAAAAATTGGGTCTAAAGATCATGGAAGTGGGTCTAAGGCCCAATCTCAATACTCGCACTGTGGTCTTCATCAAAATGAAAGTGTGCAGTAAGGCTTTGAGTGTGTAGTACACAAGTGTGCAAATAATTGCATGAATGAGACAAGGAGCATTGCGTCATCAACCGAAACACATGCCGGGAATCTGGTTGCTGTGATACTTTCTTTGAAAACCTTTATTAACAACTTTCAAACAAATATTTGAAATAAATTTACATTCATTGCTGCTTTGTCTTGAAGTTTTAGAGCATCAACTATTTGTTCTAAATTTAACAGATTTCATTAGAAAATACATATTTTCAAAAAAGCCACTTGATCTCCCGTAGCAATGGATTATGGGTAATAACCTTCACCCAAGTCTGCAGGGATGCGAACTTGGGTGAAGTGCGAATCAAGAGTGCAAAAAGGGCGTGACCAACTTTCGTATTTAAGAGTCAAGACACCCTACGCACTCGCAACCCTGGTCGGGATCGCCAAATTGAAGGGTGCAAGGGTGGAAATGTGAGTATTGGGATTGGGTCTATGCCATATTAAATGCCATGTTTCCTTCTGCAGGAGCCTGTGAGGACAAAATGAATTTGCTGATTTGTACAAACATTTACAAAATTTCACCATTCAGAAACATTGTTGTTTGACACATTTATCTCTTCACTCATTGCCAGTGATGAAAGGGAGTCTAATGGGCTATTCATTTTGCTGGAGGTTGTCACATCTGACAGAGGTTAGTACCCAAATGCAGTTAACCCAGGAACAGCACAGAGGGCGAGTAGTTGCAAAAAATAAGATCCTTTTATTTAAGAGCAATGAGGAAAGTCCAAAAGGCTCAGGGAAAACACAGGAGCCAAATCAGATTCAAGGACTCACAGGAGGAAATATTAAAACTAAAAACTGGAGGCACAGTAAGCAACAAAAAACGCTGGCAGGAACAATAAACCAACAAACAGAGAGACAAGACAGTTATACAAACAGAGGGAAGTAATCAGGGAAACAGGGAGCAGATGTAACCAATTAACAGAGTGGGGAAAAAACACCAAAAAAAAACAGAGAGGGAGGCTAACTAAACATGAAACAGACAGAGAACTATAGATGAAACTAGAAGGGGAAACTGAAAGGCTGAATAGAAACTTTAAAAATGATCGGAAGAATAAAAAATGACAAGACTAGAGACACTGGAGGGCTGGGGGCATACCTGATACAAATAATAAACAGAATAATTAAAGGAGAGGAGACATGTAGGCAGTGTTGGGAGTAATGCGGTACAGAAGTAATTAATTACTGTAATGCATTGCTTTTTGTTGTAATGTGGTAATGTAAGGCATTACAGGGAAAGAAAATGGTAATATTTACTCGGTACAATTGTCAGTAACGCAGTAATTACAATGCATTTTAAACCCAGAATCAAGATGCGTTTCTTAAAAATTCAAATTGCTGGAAACCCGAAAAAAGATCCAGTATCTGCATATATTACGTCATTTATGGACTCAGCTTTGCAGGCAGAGAGGACGCAGCGGTACCGGCTCAAATACTCCAGCGGCGTCCTCCACGCGGCCGCTGTAACATTCACAAAATCACTCCACTAAAACAAAATAATTCACCTGCGATCGTTCATATCAGCGCATGTTCTCTGGTATTCTGTACTTTTCTGACGTGCTTTGCCTCATCTGAGTTAATCTGGGCCCCGGTGATTTTAACTCATTGCTGCTGGAGCGCCGCGCATGTGAAGATCCCTTTGGCTGATTAGTTAGAAAGTAGGAAGTCTAGGAAACTGTTTTTTCTGGAAGACGGAGAGAACATGCAGCATGCAGGAAGGTTAGAGAGAGAAAGGGCAGGAAATATTTCAAATAAAATCAAGAAAACTAAACAAAGTGCTTGAAAAGACAGAAAGTCGGTAGATTTATCCCCAATACACATTTTTACCAGTGAAAAGAAATAATATATAAGCATTCAATATTTATACATGTGATAGAATCAGATCACACCAGAAGTCAGTCCCACATCCAGGGCCGTATCAAGGCATTTGGGGACCAAGGCTAAATAGACTTGGAGCCCCCACCACCTCACTCCCTGCTCAGTTAATCTAAGATGGCAGCGTGCTGAGAGTACAGATTGTTGTTTCATTTATTTCATAAACAATCCTTCTAAAGATCTGTTTTTAACAGCAATCCTAGCTCAGACACCACATCACCTTCCACCGGATGTGTCATGAGTTCACCAGGCATCAGATTACCAAACTCATACTGAAGTTGTTTTGTTGAAAGTAACTTAGAGTAATGCAAAAGTAGTGTAATGCTTTACATTTTAAAATCAGTAATATTGTAATGTAATGAATTACTTTAAAATGAGGGTAACAAGTAATAAATAATGTATTACAGTTTTGAAGTAACTTGCCCAACACTGCATGTAGGGAACCTGGAGACAAGGAGAAACACGGAGGGAGCTGGGGAAACAAGGACACAGAACATGACAGAGGTTGGGCTCCCAGGGATTTTTTATCCTAATGGCCATCCGTTGTTAAGGTCTTACTCACTAAATTACAGCTTGCTTGCAATGATTTAGGTTTGTACTGCCCTCTATCGCCAGGAAAGATACACACCATCACTTTAATTACATGTAATAAATGGCTCAGGTAAGGTTTCTATAGATTTGTCCTTAGATGTTCCGAAGGGAAGCGTTGGTTACTTTCTCAGATGGGTCAACCATTTCTTCACTAAAATAACACGTGTGTGTAAACTGAGGAGCAGATCCCACACTGAGGAGACAGGTGAGAGGTGGGAATAATAAGCTTGTATTTTCATCTAATCAAAGAGTTATTTAAAAACTAACACTAAGAGGAAAAACAGAGGGAATGTGAAAAAACAACTCAGCAAGAAACAAAAAAAGTTTTTAGTGATAAGGGAAGTAATGAACGTGAGGATGTTGATGTGATAATTAGAAGCTATTTGATGTGTGGGAAGGGAAAAGGGAGATCTAACACCACAAGGGGCTAACTCTATAAAACTATAAAAATCTGAACCAAAAAACATCAAAACAAGGCAAATAAAACTCATGTTAACAGAAAGAAGCCAGAAACCATAACTCAACCTAAAAACGTACACAGTCTTGAACAGTTTATTTCTTTCCAGGCACAAACAAGGCTACTAAGCGTGTTTTTAGCCTCAATGCATCAATCAGAAAAGATCTTTGAGGAGGACAGAATGAACTAGCCTGGCCTGCCAGACTTGTCCTTTGTTATATTCTGCCCAGAGAAAGTCTGGTAACTCACAGGCAGAGAGGCACTTGAGGGCGGGACTAGGCAGCTCAAAAGTAACCAATCAGAAAAAAGACGGAAATGCCGACTGTACCACGCAACGCAGTAGTTTTCTAGCTGTAGTAAAAAAAAAAGGTGTTTGGCAACAGCGCAAACATCTTTCACTTTTTTTTTTAAGAATAAATGCTTTTAGCGCTTCTACTCGTGGTTTTAAAGACATTTGAGTAATTTAGAACAGAGGAAAGAGCCGCAGCGAACTCTGCCGCTGTCTTTGTTGTTTATGAGAAACTGACTGTCGCTGTGTGTGACGTCCACGACGCTGTAGTTTTTTTGCTGTAGTCAAAAATGGTCTGGCGACGGCGCAAACATCTTTCTTTAGAAACAAGGCTTTTAGCGCTTCTACTTGCTGTTGTTTTAAATACGTGTCCAAGTCATTTAGACCAGAGGAAAGAGACGCGGCAAACTCCAATTCAGTCGCCAAGTTCTACAAACTCGGCGTTATGGTGTGTGACATTGGCTCGGTCTGATTGGCTCAGTTAGAATTCTCACGGGGTGGGGTTATTTGAATAGGAGAGTTTCCAGACCCTTTCTCTGTTCAGGATTAAACAGAGGAGGAGTCTGGCAGGCCAGGCAAAGAATGAACCGAAGAAGGACTGAAGACAAATGTGGAATTTGACATGTGGAGGGCAGATGGAGGAAAAGATTGATGGTGTGTCTTCAGGGAGGAGTGGTCATTTAACTGCTGGTTCCCCTTTGGCCTGTAATGGCCTTTACCATGGCAACAATACCCAATGGAGACCTTTTAATGATGTATCAGATGAGAAAATAAAGCTGCCAATCAAGGACCTTCAGTCTCCACTGCGCTGAGTGCATTATTCACCATGGGCAGTGATTGGAAAAGGCAGAAAGAGCAAGAGAACGATAAAGGTGTGGGGATCAGCATTGATGGAGGAGCGAGAAAAGAAACAGGAAGAGAAAGGTATTTATTCTTTATGTAACTCGGTTCTGCTGCCAAAACCATAGAATTCTGTGTGAAAACCCAGATAAAGTGTGGTTTAAAGCTGCATGTTGATTTATAAAGTAACAACTGCATAAACTGTTTTGGCATTTTTTATACCAGAGCTGTTTATGGTAACAGTACTCTACTCTGACCCTGCTGCTATGTCTGGCTTTAGTGCATCTATTTGGTCAGAACTGTTCTCTGTTTCTCCAAACTGAGATTGTTCAGAGAGCCATCCTTTCTACATAAGCTAACCTTTTCTCAGACCTATTTATCTGTCCTCATTTTCAGCTCTGAAGGTGTTAAAATGCAACTTAGCCTAGAAAACTCTTCCAGTGTCCATCATGAACATCAATTTTAAATCAGAATCTGTGTCACACCCTGTCCTGTCTTCTCCTAGGTTGTAGTCTGTGTCTCCGTGAATTGCTCCCACCTGCCTCTTGTTTTCCAATCACCATAGCTCCCGTTCCTCATGTATTTAAACCCCTGCTGTTCTGTGTTCCTTGTGGTGTCATTGTTCCAGTGTCAGCGTGCTTAATAAACCCATGTTAAGATATCCTACCTACCTGCCTGTTTCCTCCCCGGTCTGGATCCACGCCTTTCCTCCACTCCGCGCACGTCGTGACAGAATGACACCACCCGAACCCGTTGATGGATCCAGCCGGGAGATTCTGCCCTGGGAGAACCTGCTCCAGTGGCTCACGTCCAACCACCGGCCAGCTTCTCCATCTCCTTCTGCCCCAGCTCCGCCTCGCCGCCGCTGGCGTCGCCGACCTTCGGCCGCAGCGTTCCTCCCTGTCCTCCCGGAACCGGAGGCATGTTTGGACCGGTAGCCGCTGCCAGATCGCTCCAGCTATGAGGGCACGAGGCTGGCGATCTGTTCCCCCGGAGTCGGTCCACGGCGTGGGGAGAGACGCCGGAAGCCACCACAGCCCAGTGCTTCTGGACGGAGCTTCGAGCCCGCCGCTGGCCGTGCCCGGCGCGGCAGTTCGGACACGCCCCCGGCCAGACCACCAGTCCCGTCTCCTGCCGAACTGGAGCCCCCGTCGGTTGCAGAGGAAGGAGCAGCAATCGCGGCCCGGCTGATGGAGCAACGGGGGGAGCTCGGCCGGTTCCGCGAGCTCCTCAGCCGCAAGGAGTCTCACCTGGACGCCCTATCCTCCTCGTCCCAGGGCCAGAGGAGTGAGCGCGGGGTTCCCCCAGCGGAGCTTGCCGGTCAGCGGGCTGAGCTGGCCCAGCTCCGTTGGACGCTCAGCCTCAGGGAGCTACAGCTGGACGAGCTGACCTCCCACCTCTCCTCAACGCTCCAAGCCCTCCTAGCAGCGGCTCTGCCACCGGCCCAGAAGCAGACGGCACCGGCCCATAAGCCGACGGAGCGGGCCGAGAGACGGAGGGTACCGACCCGGAAGCAGATGGAGCCGGATCCGGTCCAAAACTCGGCAGTCCAGAAGTCGAGGGACCAGAAGCCGACTCCTCCGGGCCAGAAGCAGACGGTTCCAGTTCCGGTCCAGAGGCCAGCGGTCCAGAGGTCGACGGTCCGAAAATCGAAGGACCAGAAGTCGACGCCCCTGGACCCGAAGTCGATGGTGGTCGACGCCCCTTCCTGTTCTGAAGTTGACGCCCCTTCCTGTTCTGAAGTCGACGCCCCGTCCTGTTCTGAAGTCGACGCCCCGTCCTGTTCTGAAGTCGACGCCCCGTCCTGTTCTGAAGTCGACGCCTCTGATGACGATGTGTCCGAAGTCGTCGCCTCTGATGACGATGTGTCCGAAGTCATCGCCTCTGATGACGATGTGTCCGAAGTTGTCGCCTCTGATGACGACGTGTCCGAAGTCGTCGCCTCTGATGACGACGTGTCCGAAGTCGTCGCCTCTGATGACGACGTGTCCGAAGTCGTCGCCTCTGATGACGACGTGTCCGACGTCGCCGCCGCCTCTGATGACGTCACCGCCGCCTCTGATGACGTCGCCGCCGCCTCTGATGACGTCCCCGCAGACGTCTCTTCTGATGACGTCCCCGCAGTCGTCTCTTCTGATGATGTCCCCGCAGACGTCTCTTCTGATGACATCCCCGCAGACGTATCCTCTGATGACGTCCCCGCAGACGTCTCCTCTGATGACGTCCCCGCAGACGTCTCCTTTGATGACGTCCCCGCAGACGTCTCCTCTGATGACGTCCCCGCAGACGTCTCCTCTGATGATGTCGCCGCCTCCTCCTCTGATGACGTCCCCGAAGTTGGCTCGTCCGATGACGTCGCCGCCTCCTCCTCTGATGACGTCCCCGAAGTCGGCTCGTCCGATGACGTCGCCGCCTCCTCCTCTGATGACGTCCCCGAAGTCGGCTCGTCCTCTGATGACGTCCCCGAAGTCGGCTCGTCCGATGACGTCGCCGCCTCCTCCTCTGAAGTCGGCTCGTCCGATGACGTCGCCGCCTCCTCCTCTGAAGTCGGCTCGTCCGATGACGTCGCCGCCCCTGAAGTCGGCTCGTCTAGGGATGCTCTTTGCACTCAAGAGGCTGACGCTCCGTCCAGCCCGGCGCCTCCACGGTCTCTGGTTCCGATGGTGGTTTTGAGGGCCACGCCGGCCTAGCCTGCAGAGACTTTGTCGCCGGCCCAGCCTGCAGAGACTTTGTTGCCGGCCCAGCCTGCAGGGACTTTGTCGCCGGCCCAGCCTGCAGGGACTTTGTTTGCCGGTCCAGCCTGCAGAGCTCCTCTATCATAGATGCAGGTCCTCAAAAGTCCGTCCTCGTCTCCTCCTCTGCCGCAGGCGCCGGCCTCCAGAGGCCCGTCGCCTCCACTGCAGCAGGCGCCGGCCTCCAAGGGCCCGTCGCCTCCTCATCTGCCGCAGGCGCCGGCCTCCAAGGGCCCGTCGCCTCCTCTTCTGCCGCAGGCGCCGGCCTCCAAGGACCCGTCGCCTCCTCTTCTGCCGCAGGCGCCGGCCTCCACTGGCCCGTTGCCTCCTCGTCTGCCGCAGGCGCCAGCCCCCGGACTCTGCAGTTCCCTGCCGCCTCTCCATCGTCCTCTGGGCCCTCCCTCCGGGTCCCCCTCCCCCCGCCCTGCTCCTGGTTCCTGTGGGCGTCTGGAATCCGCCCTTTGAGGGGGGGGGGGGGGGGGGAGGTACTGTCACACCCTGTCCTGTCTTCTCCTAGGTTGTAGTCTGTGTCTCCGTGAATTGCTCCCACCTGCCTCTTGTTTCCCAATCACCATAGCTCCCGTTCCTCATGTATTTAAACCCCTGCTGTTCTGTGTTCCTTGTGGTGTCATTGTTCCAGTGTCAGCGTTCTTAATAAACCCATGTTAAGATATCCTACCTTCCTGCCTGTTTCCTCCCCGGTCTGGATCCACGCCTTTCCTCCGCTCCACTCCGCGCACGTCGTGACAATCTGTAAATTAAATAAAAGACACCCGCCAAAGTTGAAAAGTGCACGAGCATGCATCATTTTTCATTTTCCTCGTTGATGGGGAAGTTTATTTTTTCCTCTGTAAGTTTTTGTTCAGATCCCTCCTGCAGACGCGAACCCACTTCCTGGCCTTTTTATGAGCAGAACTCGTAAGCCTTCCATTCCTGGAAAACCTTTTGTAATTAAGATG